AATTTGCCAAAATGCTCCATCTATTAAGGAGAATCCTCTCATTATGCAGTGCACTGTGGTCCACTACTGTTGTCATGAACTATCATGACAGCACCTTTGGCCAACTTTTAAAGTGTATCATTTTGCCATTCGACGTTCAATTTAAAGGATTCAAGCATTCACCTGTAGCTCATTAAACCTTCTAGTTATTGGCACTGGTTGCATACCCACATATTTTATCATTTAAAAGTTAGACACCCAAATACAAATTTATTCATTTTCCATTCAAAAAACACATATAGTGTCCCAAATCCTTTAACCTGGTGCCAATAAGCTAGGAATCACTTAAACTAATTTAAATAGACCACAATCAACTTGATTAACTAGTCATACAATAATAATTATACCTAAATCATGAATTGGCCATTAAATACCTCATTTCCATAATAAATTAGAGGGCCGGCATCGTCCATGTAACACAATCCTCTTGGCCATTTAAACACACAAACAACATAATAATATCACTTGTACTAATATTACAGCCCTCTATAAAAATTTCATCACAGTCACCATATCCTAAGTTGAGATACCCACAATTAACAATGTCATATAAGTGAATCAAAATAACACATGCCCTAAGTTGTCATATTTATGCAATAATTCATTACAATTTCAAAAAGAAATGGGAAAGAGCTATACAAATTTAGAAATGTAGTGCAGTACACCTAAGGTTATTTTTATCCCAAGAGAGCAAGTTTAAGCAACCAATGACAATTCATAAATCATTTTCATAAGTTAAAAATAATGTTGGTTTTGAAAAGAAAATTCAAGGTTAAATGTGCTTATGATTTTTGAATTTTTAAAAAAAAATGTGAAATGAAGTGAAATTGATTTAACTGAACAAACAAGTAAATTGTCCAAGGTTTGAATTCACTTTTACCATAATAGAAGCTTAAATTTAATTCATTCAATTCTTGCAACTCATTTGACATTAACTAAAATGCTTAATTACCATTAAGACTAGGTAATTGTGATTTAGACTAAGACTAACACACTTTTCTTGACCATGCTCTAACACTTAGAATCAATCAAGAATTAAGTAATTAACTTTAATCTAAAACCTAAATAGAAGCTAAATGATTCATATATCATCAAAGAATTTGTCATATTAGCATTTACACAACAATAATTATTAAAATATAAATTCAAATATATAGCATACATCATCCAATTAAAAAATTAATTTATAGCATCTAAATCTCTTAAGGAATGAAATCAACCAAAACTAAATCATCAAATCAATTGCAACAATAAGTGAGTTACAGCAAGACAAAAACGAAACGAACTAAACAAACTCAAGTGAAAGTTTCAGAAGAACTATAGAAAAAATTCAGCCACTCATCTCGTCCTCTCAATGACTGATCAAAGAAAACGTCCGTGAAGAGCTGCCATAGATGCTTGCTTGACAAATCCGTGAGTGAACGACATGCGACTGAACTGGAAACTGAGTGAAGAATTTGCAGTAGAGTGCGAAGAACTGAACCTGAGGGAGATGTGCAATGGCGTGCGACAGGCTGAAACCAAGAGAGCTGTGCGTTCGAGTGTGATGAATCTCCCTGGCCGAACTCGGACTGAGAGAGGATGAGCGATGACGCGAAAGAAGATTTCTGTCTCGTCCGTGCATGCGGTGGCCGAGAAAAGAAGATGAGCGATTGCGTCTCTGTGGCGTGTGGTGGTCAAGCTGTGAGATGAGCGTCCGAGATCTTTGGACCGAGGAAAATGAGCAATCCTGTGCCACAAACTCGTGCAACAGAGAGGAGAGGTCGAGATGACTGATGGGCATGCGTGATGAACACGTGCCTCTGTTCCCGTTCTTCGTTTTTGTCCTTCCCTCCTCTTTCGTGAATGGCTCCACTGAGAACATGATGACGTGTGCCTGATTCTGTTTCTGCGTTTTCTTCTTTTCTGAAAAGTCAAAAACTGATTTAAAATAAAAAAAGACAAAATTACTAAATTAGCCAATTAATTTCTTAAACCGCACAAAGTAACTAAAACTAAATTAATGTTATGCAATTGAACTAATTAAAGTTTTAAAAGTAAAAATAAAAATTACTCAAATAACAAAATGTGTTAAGAAATTAAAATTTTAAATTAAAAATATTTAATTTTAATAAAATGTACTAAATGATTAAAATGCTTTTAATGTCAAAATTCAATAAAAATGAGCAAATGATCAAATTTAATGTTAAAATCATGAATATAAGGGCCTAAACTAATAAAATATAGTCAAAAATATAAAATAAAAGTGTGCAAAATATGTTATTATTAAAAATTTCAGCCAACTCTTCCTTCTTTTTACTCCTATGGAGCCATCTCTTATAAAATGTAATTGTAGAATGAGATAAATATATTAATAACAGAATAGCTCATATTTATTAATTAATACACACAATTATAAATGGGTAAAACTTATATATAAAAAATATATTTTACATTTCAAGTAAAATTTATATTATTTTTAAATTATTAATTTTAAAATATTGTACCCCACAATCTAAGATCTTGTCACCGCCACTAAGGAATTGCTTGAGATGGAGGTACTATCTCAACAACATCAATGTCTTCATTTTCATCATTTTGAATAAATAATTACCAATTTGTGTCATTCTTGTGTTTTAATCAAAAAGTAAGAAATACATAAATCAAATGACAAAATATAAAGTAAAATATTATCATTGGGCATAAAACCATGCAACTAATTACATGGACAAATTAAAATTTACAATTATTCAAAATTTGAAGTAAAAAAAACTTAAATGAGTAGTTAGAGTCTAAACTTACTGTTTTGGAATCGAAAATTTGACCTAAAATTGTTTATACTAAAAAAAAAAATCCCAACTTTCAAGGTCCAATCTTAAATGAGTAGTCGAATTGTTTGTATTTGTAACTTATTTCTGAGTTCTAGCTCTAGTTTCAATCAACTTGCTAAAACAAAAAAGTCATGTTTGCAAATCAATTCTGCCTAAACAACGATTTAGCAAGCTCAAATGCCCTTACGCTTTTCAAAGAACTCAAGGTCCATGTGAATGGATTTTTGTTCAGGATTTGTGAAAAATTACAGAAAGACCGTATAGAAATAAAAATTTTCTTAAATCGGCACAACATCGACGTTTCACCTTTCAAGATCATGTTTATCTCTCTTTAATTGTGGAATGACGAAAACACCCTCGACTGACCCAAATCAGCCCTAATCTTTCGCAAGAATACCCAGGATGTTCATCAGCTTCTTTGCCTGTCTGTGTCTCTATCTGATTTTCTCTTCATCCACTGATATGGCATCGCAGTTTGTGTTCGGATCCGCCTCCTTCGGTCTGTGAGAAGCCATCTCTGCTAATACTCAGGTAATTATAACATTTTTTATGCGACAAAATCTCTTGCGATTTGCTGGTTTTCTCAATAAACGAGCTACGGATTTTGGATGCAATCACCAAATTCTGATGTTTGTTGTTTGAATTTATTCCGCATAACACGGATTTGTGTTGAACGATTTTCTCTTGGCTCTTTAAATTTCAAGTTCAACTGAATTTTCCCCTTTGTGTGGGTCTTTGTTTTCTTTGTCATTTTAACGTTTACATAATTGCAACTGCTTAAAATATATATAGTATTCCTTTAGTAGCATTCTATTGCAGACGTTCGCCATCAACACATGTCTGTTTCGACAAAATTGGTTCCCCCTTCCCTTTTCCAGTTGTCTTCTTCAGCTCTCTCGATCTTGCAACAAGACAATAGTTAGAAGTTGCAATAAACGTGATTCAGCTATACTAGTTTAATTTCCTTTGGCAACATTTTGGCAGTGATAACTGACAAACAAGTGTACTTCAAAAAGGACGATTGTTCTTCTCGTCTGAAAGTCCAACCAGCATTGCTCTTATTACTCTTTTTATTGAGTGTCATATGGCTGCGGGATGGCCTGCTTGCACTAATAGTACAAATTTATCTCACGGTACTTTGAATTCGTACTACTTTTTATGACGTGTTTGAGATGCATAATATCTTTGACAGCTATGTACTAGCAAATTAAGTTTTGATTATCCTATTACTTTTAAAGTAGACTCTTATACTGTTGCTGAAACCCTGGCATATGAGTAGACCAGTATGTTTTGTTGAGTTTTGAACCATGTCATCTGCCATACACCCGTTTGGTTTATACGAACTTATCAGATTATACTCAATGGGTTAGAGGCAAAATGCAATCTAAGCTCATGATTTTTTATTTTAATTTTTTATTCTGCTAAATTCTAGCTCTTTTCCATGTCACATGAACTATGAGTTTGCATTTTGTGCTCTCACTCTTCTTTTCTGGTTCACAACACAACCCCAGCGGTGAGTGGTAAACCCACGTTAGACACTGAAAGCAAATAGAATACTCATTTTTCTGTTCTGCTGGTTGCCATTGACTGATCAACTGTTGATATGAAATGTTTCTTCTCATTTGGGTGTGCATGGATCTATGACAGCTCCCTATGAATTTCTCTATCTGCATAGGCTGAGAACCATTTATATGGCATTCAAGTTACAAATTGCAATTCCATGCATGTAGACTGCTAGTCCCACTGAAGCCTGTCATTTAAACTTAAGTCTTTACTTCTCTTTAGTTTCTGTTTCAGAAACTTGTTCCTGTGGACTGTGGTTGTGTTGGTATCTGAAATTGTTTATACCTTCGTGTTTATGATGTAACAATTTGCTTAAGAATTACTATTTATTATCTTTTTCTGTAGAATCCTGTTCAGTCGATTAACTTTTAGAATTTTTTCTTCCTTGGAAGTAGTTCTGATGTATTTTGATAATGTTATATGGTGAATTATTGCAGGTTGTTTACATGAGAAAGCTTATTTTACTGTGGCTGGTTACATTTGCCAATATAGTAGAGAAAATGGCCTTCTTATTTTTCCTCCCATCTGAGGGAAGAGGTTTGAGTGGTTGATGTGTAACATCGAAGTTTGCACCCATAACTCCACTGCATGGAAGATCACTCATTTGCTGTTGGTCAAGAATTCCCTGACGTTAAAGCATTCCGCAATGCAATTAAAGAAGCAGCCATTGCACAGCATTTTGAGCTTCATATCATTAAAAGTGACCTGATTCGTTACTTTGCTAAGTGTGCATCAGATGGCTGTCCATGGCGCATTCGTGCTGTCAAGCTCCCTAATGCCCCCACCTTTACCATTAGAAGTCTTGAGGGGACACATACTTGTGGGAGAAATGCACATAATGGGCACCACCAGGCTTCTGTTGACTGGATTGTGAGTTTTATCGAGGAAAGATTGCGAGATAATATCAATTACAAACCAAAAGATATTTTACATGACATCCATAAACAATATGGGATAACAATACCATATAAGCAAGCTTGGCGTGCAAAGGAACGTGGTCTTGCTGCAATATATGGCTCCTCTGAAGAAGGATATTGCCTACTTCCTTCGTATTGTGAGCAGATAAAGAATACTAATCCTGGAAGTTTTGCAGAGGTATTTACTGCAGGTGCAGATAACCGTTTTCAGAGGCTTTTGTTTCTTTCTATGCATCCATATATGGTTTCCTGAATGGTTGTTTGCCCATGTTGGACTTGGCGCTATCCAACTGAAAAGCAAATATCTTAGCACATTCCTTTCAGCAACTTCATTTGATGCTGATGGTGGGTTGTTCCCACTTGCATTTGGTGTTGTTGATGTTGAAAACGATGAAAGCTGGACTTGGTTTTTGTCCCACTTGCACAAGACGCTTGAGGTGAATACTGAAACTATACCACCAATTATATTTTTGTCAGATGGACAGAAAGGTATTATGGATTCAGTAAGAATGAAGTTCCCTAATTCTTCTCATGCATACTGCATGCGTCACTTAAGTGAAAGTATTGGCAAAGAGTTCAAGAATTCTAGGCTTGTCCAACTTCTGTGGAAGGCAGCATATGCCACCACAACCTCTGCTTTTAGAGAAAAAATGGCTGAAATAGAGGAGGTTTCTCCTGAAGCTGCTAAATGGTTACAGCAATTTCACCCTTCTGAATGGTCCCTAGTACATTTTGAAGGATCACGATATGGTCATTTGTCCTCTAACGTTGAACAGTTCAATAGATGGATCTTTGAAGCCGGGAATTGCCAATCATTCAGGTGATTGAGCGGATTCATAACAAGCTTAAGACTGAGTTTGATGACAGGCGTTTAAAAGAGCAGTTCATGGTTCTCTGTACTCGCTCCATCTGCTGAGAAACGAATGATCGAAGCTATTAGTTGTGCGTCCACATATCAAGTCCTTAGATCAGATGAAGTGGAATTTGAAGTTCTCTCGGCTGATCGCTCAGATATTGTAAATATTGGTAATCGTAGCTGTTCCTGCCGTGATTGGCAGCTATATGGAATACCGTGTTCTCATGCTGTTGCAGCTCTGATCTCATGTAGAAGGATGTCTATGCTTTTAGTGAGAAGTGTTTTACTGCTGCTAGTTACAGGGAGACCTATGCAGAGGAAATATATCCAATCCCTGAGAAACTTGAATGGAGAAAAACAGATGAGGCTTCCATTGATGAAAAACCCTAGTTGTACGGCCACCAAAATCTCGGCGACCACCAGGGCGCCCTGAGAAGAAAAGATTTGTGTTGAGGACCTTAATCGAGAGAAGCATACAGTGCATTGTAGTCGGTGTAATCAAACTGGACATTACAAGACAACGTGCAAAGCGGAGATTAGTATAGTAGAACAGTTTTAGGTGTCTGACTTTGTACTCTTAGGTCACTTGGACTAGCATGGTTAGCTTCTAGGGACGCAAGTTTAACGATATAAGCATTACTTTGGCTATGTAGAAAGTTATTCCATTTTAATCAATCTGCATGTGTAAACTAAAGTAACTTTGAAGATTGGCAGGTTTGTTATCAAAAGCCATAATGGAGATGGAATATGTCAAGAATGAAATAAGAGGGTTAAAATATCTTCCCAAGTGCCTTTGTTACAAGAAGTATGATTCGTTTGTCTTTGCCAACAAGTTTTTAAGATTCAGGAACTATTCCCGTGAATAAGGATTGGGTTCAAACATGATTGTCTGATACAACGCGCACGCATTATATGTAGGCCTCGCATGTTGCCAGGATACTTGGGCATGGCAAATATCACACTCAAAAGTAGAACACAAGAACGTCCAAGTGCAGAATGAAGCAATGCAGAGAACATAATAAGGATAAACTTTTATACATAACCATTCATAACGCATTATAAGATATTATTTCAAGAGAGAGTTAAGCTTGAAACCAATGAGATAACTTAAGTTCAACTGTATAGCTCCTTCAATCTTCTGCAGGCCTCCAAAATATTTCCCGGTGACCAAACGCGCTTACCCGGATAAAATCTTCGCCACCAGGTCCGAAACCACTGCCAGGGGTTGTAACCACATGGGGCCTTCTCAAGGATCTCGTTGAAAACATCCCATGAGCCCCGTCCAGGGAAATGGACCCACGCATATGGTGCATTTTTCCCTCCATATACTTTAAAACCAAGAGATTCAAATGTCTCCACTATTATGTTGGCATTCTCCTTATAAAATCCTATGACCTCTTTCATAGCCTGCATCCAAATTTAGCGAGTATATTGCGTAACTTCTCCCAAGAAGTATTCTACAAAAGGCTGAACCAGATTTCCTTGTGCTCCAAGTAATTGAAAAACAAGGGTCACCTCAGACCCACAAAATTTTCAAGCAAGTTCTGTTTTCTTCCTTGATAAGGCAAGCTATAACAGTTTGTCATTAGCTACAAAGGATCGTGCTATATGACATGGCAAACCTGTTGTTTTATCTTCTTTTTAATGGGTGAGACTTGAGAGTGGTTATTTTTTTCCCTAGTGTATAAAGAATTGTATACAAAATGTAACGTTTTCAGCAAAATTAGCATACTAGGCTAAATTATGTAGCATTCTTTCTTCAGAAACTGGCGCAAAAATAATAACTGACCTTGAGGCCTTCTGGTGAAAGGCAAGCCAGACCACCTGCCTGGGAAATATTGGATGCCCCATTGAAGCAAGTACTTATAATTCGGCTGAAATCCTTGGCAACAGGAAAACCATCAGAAAACAGTAACTGCTTTGGAACCACAGTCCACCCTAGTCTAACTCCAGTGAATCCGGCATACTTGCTAGATGATGCAGTCTCAAGCGCAACCTGCAATGCCAACAAGGTTCCATACACAACATTATGACACAGAAATCTACCAGACCAGGTATTCAAGGTTAGAAACAGCTTGCTGACTGAACCCTATTACATATTAGCCTACAACAAAAGCCTAAGCCATCTTCTACAAACTATTTGGCCAATAGTTTCTTCGATGGAGTTCTTGCTAGACACCATTATCCCATCATGTTTAAGAATTTTCCTTATAAAGGTGATTAACAACCAAGCTGCTAAAGTAATATGGTGGACACAACCGTGAGACAAAAAACACAAAGCAAGTATGCCTACGCTGTTATAATTTGAAGGTCTAGATTGTGGTCCAAAAAAAAAAATTTGAAGTTTTAGATAATGCAGCAACAAGCACAACTCAATTGGAATATGACAATAAGAGTCCATCCAATGCATTCTATGATAACCAATTAATATTTTATAATCAGAACTATGTAACATGTTGATAAATCACAATGTGAGAAATTATAAGAAAGAGGGGATAAGATTGAACATAAAGCTCGGTAGCCTTTGAGAATTAGTTGTTAATTATACACAGACCTCTTTGGCTCCTGGAATTTCAAAGATGGAGCGTGGGCTGTCATCTGATATATACATTGCATATGCAGAATCATACACTACTATTGACCCGTTATTCTTAGCAAACTGAACTAGTTGGCTTAGTTGCTCCCTTGTTGCTACAGCACCAGTAGGATTGTTTGGTGAACAGAAAATATTATATCCGTTCTTGAAGCAGAGGATAAATCAGGGAAGAAACCATTTTCAGGACACACCACATGTATTCAATGCTTCCATACTTCTGAGCATCCTTCAGGTATTGGCCAGTCTGACCCATAATAACACTTGAGTCTACATAGGCCTGCATCAAGAGTTCAAACATATGTAAAATTCAGCCACAAGTTATTTTGTCAGCAATCATTTATACAGCATATCAGGACCGAGAGGACTGCAGAAGAATATAAAAATGATTCCCGCCGAAGTTTGTGAACCAGAGACACCAATAATTACCACATGTTTACATGTGTCATGTTTTCAAATCAAGAGCTGTTTTTCTTATACAATGGTTTTTTCTAGTCAAATCAAGAACAGTAAAATTTCAAGCTCTTCCTGATTTTTTTTTAAATAAAAAAGTAGACAATGGCTAATCAAACCATTTTCCATTGCATCAAAGAGCATGACAACCAAATGAACGAACTGAAATCAGTCAGCACCAGTATGGAGCAACAATGGGGCAATGGTAAAGAATAAAACCATGTTAAAAGCAGAAATGGCATGCATAAGCAACTGTTAATGAGATCATATTTAAAGCAAAGCATAACATACTGGATATGATGGGTCTTGCACTGCCATCGTCACATTCGAGCCAAAGACAACCTGTAGAAATAATAGTGAAAGAACTAATTGCAATTAGAAAGAACTTAGTCACTGTTGAAAGCTCCCCATTAACATCGACCATGTTAAGAAAGTAAATTATTGACAAGGGGAAGAAAAAGTAAAATCATAATCAAACCTGGAGGCGAGATATATCACATTTTGATCCATCTGAGACAAATATATCATCTTCCTCTATGCCAAGATCAGTGTAAAATGTTGAAGCAATTGCCCTTCTTAATGGCTGCATAGATTAGAAACACTTGTCACTCTTCAAATAATAAATTTCTTTAATATACGCTTCAACTTAAATGAAAATCTAAATAGGGTGACTATATGATTCCATTATCAAATGCCTTCCATCTTTATCTTATTAAGTTCCTGAAAGAACAAACAATAAGACTTGCCCGTAGGATTGTATTTGTGTTCAATTACTGTACAATGATAATGTTCTCTAGCTATATCAGAGCAATTTTATGATCAGAGAAAACAAATGATATTAAAAACTTCAAAAGAAATCCAGATGCTTTGCTAATTTTTTTCTTGGTTTAAGTGAGAATTTATGGTGGAATACACAACTTCCAAACACATTAAGGCACAAGTTCAATAGCCATCGACAAAACTTGAGCTTATTTTTCCGTTTTTTTAGATAATCAAAACTTGAGTTTAAATTCACCAAGTGCTTATAAAATTTCTTGCCAAAAGATTTTTTGGATAAGAAGCATGCTTATTTTATAAACTCATTTTTCACTTGACCACTTCAAAAAATAATGCCCTAATTTA